GGAAAGTACGGACGGAGCCTCGTGCTTGCGCTTCGCACCTCTGTCCTTGTGAGAGCTTTCAGGCACTTTCAGGGCCGGGATTACATAGGCGAATACTATTCCTATAGGGTGCTTTATTATGACTGTATAATACATGAGCCCCAAACCCTATTGTAGTGATTAAGGCACCCGCAGCAATACCCCTATTCATCCTGATAGACCCGTTTAGAGGAGCCCTTTAACGGGAACACAATTGCAGTGATTCTTCAATTAACGCCCCTACAGTACTTCTCCCAGTGCCCCTGCAGGATTCGCTCAACGTCTTCGTACCACCAGCCGCCGAGTGGCAAGACGTCCAGTTCTTGGACATCGGAGGTGCCGTGGCAACATCGGTTTAGGGTTTAGGGTGTAGGGGTTTACTGGCTTAGGGTTTAGGGGTTTAGGGTATAGAGGTTTAGGGTTTTGGAGTTTAGGGTTTTCGGGTTTAGGGTTTACGGGTGCAGGGTTTAGGGTGTCTCCACTGAGCCCTAGAGCTTTCTGCCCCATTCAACCTTAGGCTTCACGCTACTCCAGGGGCTTGCACAATTACGATATACCGTTGTTTCTTACGGCTTGCAAGAAGACCATGCCATGATATACCCCACAACCCGGATTTTTTCGTAAGACCATATCTACCTCCTATGAAAGACTTCCTCTATACATGCCATGAAAACAACCAGAAATCCTTATCGGATGTTTAAGCTAAGTCCACTGCCTTGCATGCATCCCTAGAGCTGGAACTGCACAGGCGGACGATAACGAAAGGTTGGTTGCATCCGGTGTGCATGCCTTAGGGATTCTGGCGTCTCGTATGGTTTAGGATTTTGGGGGCGTTGTGGGTGTACTGTAGGGCTTAGGGTTTGGGAGTTTGGGTGTTCAATCTTCGAGGTTAAGAGTTAATGGATTAAGGATTCGAGGGTGGGTCTTACCCTTACATCCTCAACATCCCAAAACCCTGGACCCTAACCCCCCAAACGCGTCGTAGCCCTTTCCACTCAAACACTGGGCAATACCAGGCGCCAACGAAGTGCTGAATCCGGCGGTGCAGGCTGGCGGGTACTGAAAGGATCATAGGGGATCCTTAGGGGTGTAGGGGGGAGGGGTGTAGGGGACTATATTTCCTTAAAAAGGCCTTATTAGTCCTTATTATGGGCCTTAAGGCCCCCCTACCCCCCCTCCCCTTACACCCCTAAGGATCCCTATGAAAGGATCATGGGGGACTTAGCTAAAGGATCATGGGGCTTAGTAGCTTAAAGGGCTCGGTCGAAGGCTCCCGCAAAGGGATCTAGGTATCAGGGATCTACAACGGTTCGGGTTACCTAGAGGATCCTGGGGAAACTTAGTTACCAGGGTCCTTAAACGGGATCTACAAAGGATCTTTGCGGGTGGTTTTTAGTGGTTTTCGAGATCAGGATGGAACTTAGTTAGTAGGGTAATAGAAGCATACCCTAAAGCCTAAGCTCCACAACCCCTAAACCATTATAATTACTGACCACCCCAGTCAAGGAAGTTGTAACCCGACTTGTGAAGCATCAAGATCTGCCAGGACTTGATCCAGATGTGTGTGGAACTTGCAAGTTCCGCCTGCAGTCTACTGAGCATATGTGGGTGGTCGTCAACATGAGGGTCCCTTTGCGGGCCCGTAATATAAATATAATACGGCACCTACTATCTAGGGTACCCCACAAAAGGACCCTAATCTTGACAACCACCCATATCGGCGTTTCCGAAAATAGGGGACCCTGACATAGTATATTATAAGGACCCGATATAACGTACCCCTAATTCTCGGAAACTCCCATATGTTCACCACAGGGGCTGAAGGAGTCGTCGGGCAAATCACTTGCCAAGTTCACTTGAGCTGCATCCGCCGACGCTCTGTCTGGCTCTTAGCCTGTAAGGGTTCCTTTAAGGGTTACGATAAGGGTTATGCTGTAGCGGTTTCGGCCTCATAGATCCCCAATACCCAACCTTTAAACTCTTTGGGTTCTTGTAGTTTAGTAGGAATCGGAAAGTTTAAACTTTATTTCAGTGGCTTATTGGGGTAGTAGGCTTGAGCTGCATCTGGTGATGCTTGAGCTTTCCCGAACTCCCGAAACTTAGGGACCCCAAAAGGACATAAGCCATAAGCATAAGCATTTTCTAGGGATATCCCTACCTGCTTTGGGCTTCAGTATAAGGGGATTTACATGGGATATCCCTATCCTTGTTTATGCTTATGTGCTTTTCTGGCTCCCGAAAAACCCCTAAACCTTGAACCTTGACAACTAAAACCTAAACTGAACGGCCGCAGGCCAAATTTTGCCCTGAACCGACCATAGTCGCTCATCTGAGCTGTTGATTATCGTTGGAGTGACTGTACAGGGTTTATATACGGGAGTTTCCGAAAATAGGGGACCCTAATATGGTACCCTAAATAGTAGGATCCTTATTAAGGACCCCCCAAAATCAGGTACCTTGATTTTCGGAAACTCTCATACAGTCTACGAACCTGGAACCTTTCGTCGAATGCTTCAGACTCCTGTCCGAGAGGGATTTCGGTACCGAAGACTGTTCTCGAAACATCAGAGAATCTGGGCTTTGGAGTACCATACTTCAAGACTTTTTTCCCTTAAAGTAACCCTTATGAAATAAAAGTTCATACATTTTTCTCCCTGGTTACTTGACGGCCCAGGAATAGATAATCGGTAAACGGTAGTAGTCAGGGTCTGCCAGCTAGGGTTTAACCCAGAAGCCCACCCAGAACCATACCTTGGTGCAGATCTGTGCGGATCTGGCCTATGCCCTCTCCCACCGGCTTATCATCTGCGTCCGGCCGCTCGAATCAAAATCCGGTTCCGATTACAATAGGAATTTGGGTCCCATTATACTATGAACTATAATAAGGTGGCCCCCCGTTCCTAAACTGTTAACTCCGCACGAAGGCTCCACTAGATGCAAAAGGGGGGTCCTACGTGTTGTTATCTACCTGCAGATACATATTCTGCATGTATGTATATATATATATATAGATAGATAGAGATGTAGATATTTCCATACATCTATATACATATATATATATATATATATATATAAACATGTTTACATATATGGATGTGTACATTTACATAAAGAGATAGGGGTTCTTCATGTCGGGCGCTCCTTTGTGTTCGTTTGTCTGACGCACCCATATTCAACAGGAAAACCCCACCGAAGCAAAGCAAGGCTTAGGGATACTTAGAAATAATTTTAATGTTTGGTTATTATAATCCCTAAGAAACAGCTGAAATTGTAATTTTAGCTAGGGTTCTAAGTTCAGTACAGAAGGCAGAGCGCCAGAAAATGGCCAATCCCTTTGAAGCCCTTCAGCCGAAGGGATACTACAAGGGAGCCCTAATTTTCGGAGTCTGAAAAATTCACATGTCACTACAAGCCCCTATATCTTTCAACAAATTCACACTAAATTCGCACTTCACTACAAACCCCTACAACATGCGCAGGAAAGTCCTTCAAAAAGCAACTCAGGTACGATCAAACCACCTCCCGTGCCACGCAGCAGATGATCCTGGAGATCAGATCTAAGGCCCTTCAGTTCAGGGTTCAGAGATCACGGTTTGGGGTATGCCTTTGTATATTCCTTGACTACTACCCCTTACTTCGGAATATATCTTGAAGTAGGAGTGAAAGGGTACCGCTTTTTGAGGAATGTGGTTGAATTAGCGTGGCAGGGTGGGGCGCGCTTTTGCGGGTTAGAGATTGTTGCTTTAAGGTCTTTGGGGTCTGTGTTTAGTTGTAATCACTTTCCGCTCTGCTACTCCTACGGTTGATGATATAAATCCTGTATTAACCATAATAAGGAGTGTACTAAGGAATATACCATAATTCCCGTAGTTTAGGGTCCTTAAGGTAATGCAGGATTTATATCATCAACAGTATCACGAATGATTATGGTGGTGTTGACGGTGAGTTCGACCCTGTTTCGATTGCTTTATACTTGGACCATGAACGCCTTATAGCGCTGATATGCGCCGTCCTGATCATTGCTCAACCCTCGGCAAACATAGGCCCCACGGGAAACCCTTGACCAATCTTGACCATAAAAGGTTTCCTAGAATGCTAGGAAAGGCTGTGAAACGTGGTTGCTTGATACAGTTGTTCAACGGTTGTAGACGTTGCCATGCCCAATACAGAACGAAAAGGCTGCTTCAATGTGGAACCAACTGAAACCTTTTTAGGAACCCAAGACGGAATGCTTCAGCCTTTAACACGTATAGAACCCGGAGGCTTCCAAACAACCGTAAACCCTAAAACCCTAAACCCAAAACCCCTAAACCCCAAAACCCTATACCCTCAAAAGCTCTAGACCCTAAAACCTGAAAAACTCTAAACCCTAAAGCCCTATAACATCCTCAAAAACCCTACATGAAGCCTAAACCTGAAAAGCCCCAAAACCCCCTAGTAGGCTCCCTACCACTTCAGCGACGACGTGGCGAGCCGGGCTGTGTGCCCCTTGATCTTCGTCATCACCCAGGCCTCCTTAGGGTTTAGGGCTTTTGAGGGGTTTAGGGGTTTAGGGTCCAGGGTTCTAAGGGGTTTAGGGGATTAAGGTTTGGGGTTTAGGGTTTGGGGGGTAGGGGTTTAGGGTTTTGAGGGGTTTAGGGGTTTGGGTTGTAGGGTTTTAGGGTTTGGAGTATGGGTGGGCTTAGATAGCTATGGGTATAACAACTTGCAACATCAGGCAATGTGCTGAAAACCGTACTGAACCAATCCCATGATCCTCCAAGTCTGGGTGGGAATTAATCGGTAAACATACCCCTTTGTACTCCCAAAACCCTACTCTCATTATATGGCTCACGTGCACACGGGGATGGTTCAACAGGTAGGCGAAGGCCTTCGCTTGTTCCATACCACACTGTTTGACACAGTCCCCATAG